TGCACGCTGGGCGCGTATTTCAGAGGTCCCTGGTTCGGTCGAAGGCGTTGCTCATTTTTCATCTGTCCTGCTTACAAAAAACCTAATGACTCTACAGTGGTGCCCAAACTGAAAGTGTGCTGGATCCCAGTCTCCCTTTGAAAGGGGAAGTATATAGGGTATTTCTCTCGCCTTCCTAGCATGCCTTCGTGGTGTGGTGGTCAGCACACTGAACGCGTGGTTCTATTCCAGGCGAAGGCGTTGATCATTTTTCATCCCTCCTGCTTCCCCCCCCCAAGAAAAACCTAATGTCTTTACAATGTAATACAGGGTGATAATATTTGGTGGCCACAATTTGAAAAGTAATAGAACGCATTTGAATAATATAGAACATTGAATAATAGAACGTCTTTCGAGGATGTAAGTGTTCGAACGTCAAGTTTGTTAATCAAAAATTCTTTAAAGTTTTACAAATTAGGAAATAGATAATAAAACAAATTCCAAATTTGGGTTTCCAGGTGCCCATATTGGAATGGAAAACTACATTAATCAAAATTGCTGTCTTTAGCTATTTCTTCACAGAGCAGGAAACATATAAACATTCATATAGATTTTTCTTTATTTAATTTCTGTAAATACAATGCAAGGCGATAATATTTGGTGGCAACATTCTGACAAGTGACACGCCGTTTATAGTGAACCAATGCAAACCCAAACGAATTAATAGCCCTTCTGTGTATATTGCCCTTCGGGCTAAAAATTCGCGACGGGGTAAAATTTCTACTCTAATCATCCTCATCTACTTCCGAAGAAATTCCGGATAAATTTGCCGAAAATTAGAAAAAACTTTTTAATACCAGGCGGAAATACCATACCTAGCGGATACCCCCACCCTCAGGTCAAAATTCCCCAAAGGAATAACATAACTGGTGTTTTTCTTCTGCATTTTAAAAACACTGCGAATATTCTCCGAACAGATCTTTGATCCTTCGTGTGGCCATCGGTTTACAAGATAAGATCAGTTTTTGTGCGCAGAGCGTCCTTGTATAAGGTTTTTAAAGAAGAATCACGATTTCTGAATCATGCAGGAAATTGTGGTTGGAGTTTTGCGGTTTCGCCGGCTGCATTTCCAAATCGTTTTGTAGATGAAAGGCCTTCCATGAGTTATAGAGTAACATATTATAAATTATTATATAGTACAACTGGTACTTAAACTGCGGTTCCGTGTTTGGTTGTTAATTTTTTTTTTTCCTCCCCGTTTTGATGAGGTTTTACGAGTTCTGTATCATTATTTTAATAGGTAGATTGCCTTGGAAATAATAATGCGGAAAAGTTGTTTTGTACAGTCATTAGGATGTATTGAAGTAGGAGAGGTGAAAAATGTGCAATGCCTTCGCCCGGACTCGAACCTAGATCTTTCGAATACGCGCCGAATGTGCTACCGTTACACCACGAAGGCATGCAGCAAGCACGGAGAAAACTCAACTCTATACTCGCCCCCCTTTTAAAGGGCAACTCACTCCTCAGTTGCCTTTTAAAAGGGATTACCACCAAGATTTGACGATCGGGATTAAGAGTCCCGAACGTCAAATCTTGGTGGTGACGAATTATTGTCAAGTACCTTTTAGTCCGGGGGCCACTGTAGATTAGTTAGACCTTTTTAGACAAAAGGGCTTTAACCCAGAATGGCTATTAATTTCGTTTTGGTGTTTTGCGTTGAAAACTTTAAAAGGTTGTATCACTTTTTAAATTATTCCCACAAATACCAGAGTCGTGTATTATATTCAAAGAAATTAAATAATCAAATAAAATGTATATATGTTTCTCGTACTGTGATAAAATAACGGTACTAGAGCCATCAAATTCTGAATAACGTAGTTCTCCGACCGAGTATGGGCATTTGGGAGCGCGAATTTTGAATTTGTTTTATTACCTATTTCAAATTTTGTAAAACTTTAACGAATTTTTGATTAACAAACTCAACAATTTTAAAGCGAGCAATGGCAACGCTGTAAGGGGGGGGGGAGGACATTTTTATCTCTAGCACGCGAGACTGTGTGTCAGAAATTCTAAAGATACGCTCATTTAAAAATTATTTTCGAATATTGCTGTTAAACTGAATTTTATGGTTTAAATTCGAAGAACATGATATTTAATAAATAAAGGTAACACACAAAACGGTAAAGAAACGGTACATAGAACCATCGAATTTTGAATGATATAATCCGACTGCAAATATGGGCACCTAAAATGCCAAATTTGAAATTTGGAATTTATTTTATTATGGATTTCCTATTTTGTAAAATTTTAACGAATTTTTGAGTGACAAACTCAACTATTTAAAAGCGAGCAATGGCAACACTCTACGGGGAAAGGGAAACTTTTTATATGCAGCGCGTCGAACTGTGAATCGGAAATTCTAAATATATGCTCATTTTAAAATTATTTTGCAACTATTGAACTAAACTGCTATTGAACTAAATTTTACGGTTTAAGTGCAAAGAACATGATATTTAATAAAAGGCCCTTTGGACGTAATTTAAAATCTGAAACATTTCAGTTTTTTTGTTTGTTTGTTTGTTCTCTAATAATTCAGTCACAACTATAGCTATCGTCACCAAACTTTCTACAATTCTTTTCCGAGTCATGGAAAAGGTCGACGTCCACTTTTTTTCGGAGAAAAAGTAGTTAAAATCAGAGACATTAATTAAAAACTCCGAAAAAGCTAATTTTCGCCCTCGTTTTTCCGAGTGGCAACAGTCTCGCACGCTGGAGATAAAAATCTGCTTTATTTCGAGAAGTGTTGCCACTGCTTGCTCTCAAATCGTAGAGTTTTTAATCAAAAATTTGTAAGTTTTACGAAATCTGAAGGTGTAAAAAATGTGTGTTTGTTCACGTTATTGATTTTTGATCAATTATGATCAATTTTTTGCCACATTTAATCGACTAAAATTGAATGTAGGTGAAATATTGGATGGAAGTTGAGCTCTTACTGCCATTTCGTTAGAAAGACGAAAATCATTCCAAACTGCGTGCCATTGTTGCTGATATAATGACAGAGATTTATTTTTTATCGAAATTTTTATGTGGGTTCCATATCGTATCACCCTGAAAAGTGTAGGACTATGAATCATAATTTTTAGATCATTTTTAGAGATGGATTACAGCTGTGTCGTTCCCTCAGTTGTTGGATACACTACCTTAAATCTAACATAATTGGTATTGGAGACTTCCGCTAATTAATAATATATTTAATGCTTGACAATGCTATTTTTAATTCATATTTTATAAAACTTACAAGTTTTTCATCAACAAATTCTACGATTTGAAAGCGAGCGGTGGCAACACATTTCGAAATAAAGCAGGTTTTTTTATCTGCAGCGCGCGACATTGCCACTCGGGAAAAAAAGTGGGAAAATTACCGTTTCCAGAGTTTTTAATTAATAACTCGGTTGATTATAAAGTCGTAGAAGATGAGGGTGGTCGAAATGGCTTTCCTCGAGGTTTTTTAATCGGGAATAATATATTTAATGCTTGCCAATGGTAATTTTATTTCATATTTGAATCGTCAAAATATGAATGAAAAGAATGATCAAAATGATGAGATCATTCTCTTCATCATTCATCATTGAGATGGCTTTCCACGAGGTTTTGGAATCTGGAATAATATATTTAATGTTTGCCAATGGTATTTTTATTCCATGTTTGAATGGTCGAAATATGAATGAAGAGAATGATCGAAATGATGAGATCATTCTCTTCATCATTTATGATTGAGATATGATGAGAATGGTCGAAATGGCTTTCTACGAGGTTTTGGAATCGGGAATAATATATTTAATGTTTGCCAATGGTATTTTATTTCATGTTTGAATGGTCGAAATATGAATGAAGAGAATGATCGAAATGATGAGATCATTCTCTTCATCATTTATGATTGAGATATGATGAGAATGGTCGAAATGGCTTTCTACGAGGTTTTGGAATCGGGAATAATATATTTAATGTTTGCCAATGGTATTTTTATTTCATGTTTGAATGGTCGAAATATGAATGAAGAGAATGATCGAAATGATGAGATCATTCTCTTCATCATTTATGATTGAGATATGATGAGAATGGTCGAAATGGCTTTCTACAAGGTTTTGGAATCGGGAATAATATATTTAATGTTTGCCAATGGTATTTTTATTTCATGTTTGAATGGTCGAAATATGAATGAAGAGAATGATCGAAATGATGAGATCATTCTCTTCATCATTTATGATTGAGATATGATGAGAATGGTCTAAATGGCTTTCTACGAGGTTTTGGAATCGGGAATAATATATTTAATGTTTGCCAATGGTATTTTTATTTCATATTTTATAAAACTTACAAGTTTTTCATCAACAAACTCTACGATTTGAAAGCGAGCAGTGGCAACACTTTTCGAAATAAAGCAGATTTTTATTTGCAGCGCGCGAGATTGTTGCCACTCGGAATAAAGAGTGGGAAAATTAGCGTTTCCAGAGTTTTTAATTAATATCGCGGCGGATTAAAGACGTACGAAGATGAGAATGGTCGAAATAGATTCCCACGAATTTTTGGAATCCGGGGGTAGCTCTTTCGAAACTAAACTCCCGGCCGTTCCAGAGGAGATGGTGTCAGAAAATTATAGACAGACGCGCACAGATTTAAATGGTATAGACTGGACACCAAATCATTAAAAATCATAAAACTTTTTCTTCAGGTTCTTGTCATAATAATGCTGATTAATTTAAGGTAAATAGGATCTTAGGTCGCATAGAATTGCTTCAGAGAAAGCCAGTTTGAGGTAACTGTGTATACAGCTTTAAAGTTGGATTTACTTTGTATTTTAAGTGTATTTGGATTTATTTTGCATTTTAAGTGTATTTTTTATTCATTATTTTGTATTTTAAGTGTCGCCATTCTCAGTACCGTTAACATTTCTCTAAAGCATGCAAACTTCAGTGAAAAAATATCATATCTCAAGCAGCATTTCTTCTTTATATTTTCAGGTCCGTTATACAGGCTTCAGAGATCGGCCATTAGAAGAACGCCAAATGCGGTTCCAAAATGCCTGCCGAGAAGGACATACAGAAGTCGTAAGTTGCCATAACTTTAATTAAAATTTAATTAATTTAATACAATAAAAGCTCGACTATCCAAAAAGCTCAATTCCGTATACGCGAAGATACAGGATAATTGAGAGTATAAAAAAATACAGTTCACGGTACAAAAGCCTACTTATTCTGATTATTATTTATTCAAAAAGAGTTACTAAACTGTTATACATTTTAGTAAATGATGCCAGCATTCTTTTCTGGTACTTTTCCGTTTCACCGGCGCAAATCTCGCCAAGTAGACTTTATTGGCGAAAACACACAGTATACACATAAAAAGTGTTGACAAATATTAGCTCTAAGAATTTTTTATTTTGAAGGTACAAATATTTTAGTGTCGTTTAAAATTTTGTAAAAAAGGCCAATAAATAAAGACAATAAATTTGTAAAAAGACATTAATTTAAGAATTTACGATGCTTTCATCGTACAGCATCCTGATTCACCGGTTCCTATCACGTGACCTCAAGTGATCTCATCTCACGTAAACTACGCTACAAAAATCTAATTCTCTCAGTAATTATCTACATTAATTTCAAGTTAAATCTTAATTTGGAATACATGTTTAAATGCAAGAATTATTTCAATTCGTACGAATAGCTTACTCAGAAATTTTGTAAAACCGCAGTACTTTATTTCGCTAGTGCATTCTCATTAGAATGGATGAATTTAACCTTTGACTTTGCATTTTCTATATTTTCACCTTCGGGTGAGCAGTGTGATTGCATTCTAATTGACTTAATTACTGCGAATGGCCTTAGGACATAAAATTGAACTATCTGGTAAAAATTCTATGTAATTGTATGCCAGTATTGAAAGAAACAATCAATCTGATACGAAATGGCTGCGACTTGTTTTGAAAATGTAAAAGTTAAAGGTTACCAGCGAGGATATTTCGTTTGGCATCGGTTATACCATTACAGGCGACTTTATCGCTTGCGCCGGCAAAACGGAAAAGTACCCTTTTTCATACTCAAACATCCATCGTTTGCATTTTTTATTAACGAATAGTTACTAAATGTTTTCAACAAATATAAATTGTTTGACCTTATACAGGCTTAAATCACGTTTGTAACTGACCTTATACAGGCTTAATGCACGTTCGATATGTCCCCAAATGTTGGATAAGACAAAAGAAAAACAAACTGCTTCTTTTAAAAGCTCCGATTTTTACTTTTAATAGCAGAACTATAATATTTTCCACACAAACTTCTTTTAAAGATAGGTTAACAATGTTGCCATTCATCAGCAACTTAACTCAAGATATAAAACGATAATAAAATAGGTGGCAGTTTTAATCACATTAATTAATGCAACAAGCATAAATCTTTTTCCTTTTCTTATTGTAGCTTCTGATCTTTGTTATTTTATCGTCTGCCATTTAATTTTCAAACTAAAGCCATTTTTAATTTTGAAATTCTTAGAATTCTATACATGTAACGTTCATATTCATTAGATTATGAAATATCTAATGATATAAATTTAGTATAAAAATAGCCATCGTATTTTGCAGTAAATCGACATTAAGATTGAGAAAATCCACATTAAGATCAAAAACTATTGTAAGGTAATTCTAATAAGAAAGAGAAATAGTCTTAGATTTCATCCAACATTTTTCAATTTTATTCTTTTATCTTTTCCAACAGGCTTTCATTGCAACGGGAACCAATTTGCAACTCGTTTTCAGTCCTTGTGCCAACGGTTACAGCGAAGGTTGTGATTTCAACAAAGAACAAGGAAAGGTAAGTTTTAACTTAATTTTTTATGACGATTTTTCCTTTATTGTGCACCATTCTAAAGTCTGATTAAATTGCTCTGATAGAAAGTCGAAAGGTAAGAATAAGAATTACAACCTTAATCGGGTGAAATCCCAATAGAATAAAGCTTTCAAAAATAATTTTCTTTCTTATTTCGTAAGCTATTTTAAAATTATCGAAACAATACTTGTTGTTTTAGCATTTTTTGAGTATATTTAAAACCCGATTTTCTTCTCTATGTGCATTATTTTTTTACTTTGAAAATAATTAATAATTCACATTCTTGAATAATGCTTCGTTTAATTTTATATTGAATAAAATATAATTGCAGTCAGATAACGAGATACATTCCGCTGACCTCATAGATCACGTGTCTTATCTATAGCTAATGTATAAACGAACAAGGCAATTCTTCTTCCTCGTCTCTCGCGAAATGTATTTCATTGACAACAGTTTTGAATAACTAGAACGAAAGGAATCTCTTTCCTTTAAGTGCTCTGAAGATATTATTGTTGGTCAGAGATTAGCAATTTTAAGAACAGAAAGTCTAGAATTTTACTGTGAAATATCCGTAAGCCTCCACTGGAACATGGTCATCTGAAAACCCAAATTTCGAATTTGATTTGTTAGATATTCCATTTTGTAAAACTTTGACGAATTTTTAATTAAAAAATTCAACCATTTCAAAGCGAGCAATGGCAACATTGTACGGGGAAAAAAAAAATTATCTTCAGCACGCGAGAGTGTGTATCGGAAATTCTAAAGTTATTAGGATTTTTTTGAAGTCACGAAAAATTACCAATGCCCTGGCTAGGAGTCGAACCTGGAACTCTCGAATACGCGCCGAGTGTCCTACCGTTACACCACGAAGGCGTGAAAAATACATTCATGCAGGTTCTTCATTATTTATTTTCTTTAAGTATAACACAGGGAGATAATTTTTGATGGCAACAATTTGAAAAGCGTTCGCCGTTTATAGGTTTCAAAGCAAAATGCCAAAACAATATTAATAGCCCTTCAGGGCAAATTGCCCCTTTGGACTAATTAAAAAATAAAAAACGTTAGTAGTAGTGAGTGAACAACAAACTCAGCGAGGGCGTGAAAAGCCTTAACAAACCCTTTAAGGCGACCGTTAAAAATCTGAACTCTGATTCCTTATTTTCTGCAAATCTAGGCAATATATATATTGTTGTATTATATCTCCTTTGCATAGCTGAGTTGTTTACTTACTTCTGTAAAGCTCGTGACATACTTTGCTGAAGAAGAATTGTTCTACATTTGTTTCCTTAAATATAAAGATTAATAAATAAACAGTAATTTTCAAAAATTTATTAGAAGTTGAAAGTCAGCAAATACGATGTTTTGTGGAGGTGCATGGAGCGGCTGGAAAGCACGGAAGAAACCCTGAGGCGATGCGGCACATCCGTCGCAGACCTACCGCAGTTAACCTCCGAACCGTCCCGTCCCTTCGACGCTTTCACTTTCTCCCAGGCTGATCCTGTTTTGATTCCCTTCCAAACGATTTTCATTGGTAAGGGGAGCAAAATAAACGGGGGTGAGAGGTTATCAGTCAATGTCAGTATCTGGTTTACATCTTACGATTTTGTATCAAGTATAAAATGAATGTAAAATTTCTTAATATTTGATAACGGAAGAAACATCTCTTCTTCCCTATGTTAATATTTTTGACACATTTGTTGCGTTCGAAACTGAGGAGCAGGGCTGATTTTAGGGGGGAGGTGATCTTTTTTTTGCTGTCTTTTCGTAATGAAAAATATTTATGGGAAAAACAAAAGATGAAAAACATGAGAAGGGAAAGAATCTAGAAGAGTTCTCAACCGGGGGAGGATCCTCCCTGGAGGAAACTTTTATAGTTTCAGAGGGGGGGGGATATGGTCGGCCTTTTCTTTAACTATTAAACATTTAGTTTTAGCTTATGAAGCTACTTTTGTTAAGTTTTGGTATTTATCAAAATACCAAAACTTAATAAAAGGTATTTATTAAAACTTCAATAACAATAACAAAATAAAAAAGACTACATTTTTCGAAGGAACCTTTTCACTACCGCTTTCACATTTCGCTTTGATTTTATACATCCGGCAACACTTGCCGGATTGTCTGAAGCAAACATGTGCTTTAAAGGTGACATTCAGCTTCGATTATTAGTGAAGGTAGTGTTCTAATTTGCTGCTGGTGTAAAAAATTACACTGATTTGAAAATGAATGAAATATTTGAAGAAATACGCTATGTGATGTCTTTTTTCTATTAAAAAGGTAAAAAGGCTGCAAAAGCATGCCGAAAGCTTCGTGAAGTGTAAGCCGAGAATGCTGTGAGTGAATCGGTTTTGTTCAGTGTTCGATGGGATTGGAAGGGAATGGTCCAACGTGAGCGTGTTAGAGGTTCGAATCCCGCGAACGGGCTGGCTGCATGGGTGTTTTCGTGGTTTTTCCCCATGTGTAACGTGTATACGAGTCAGTTTCCTTTAGAAAGTCCTCCACGGAGGCATCCCTCCCCTTAAGCAGGTAGCCCTCGAGGCTTTGCCATAATCACGCAACACCCAACGTGAGCGTGCTGCAGGGCGAAACCATTAATTCGGCTCTGTACTGTGCACAACTTGACCGTCTGACCGAAACAATCCAGAAGGAGGGACCAGAACTGCTCAACAGAAAAACAGTTGTGTTCCATCATGACAATGCGGGGCCACACACATCTTTGATGAATGGAGCAAATTGACGGAACTTGGTTCGGAAGTTTTGATGCATCCACCTTATAGCCCGGACCTTGCACCGTCTGACTATAAGGTATTTCCCGCCTTCTTGGCATGCCTTCGTGTTGTGGTGGTCTGCATGCTGGGCGCGTATTCCAGAGGTTCGTGGTTTGACTCCGAGAGGGCGTTGCTCATTTTTCATCTCTCCTGCTTCGAAATAACCTAATGTCTCTATAAGTGGCGCCCGAACTAAAAGGGTGTGGATGATGATTCGCCACACTCTGCACGCTGGGCGCATATTCCAGAGGTCCGTGGTTCGATTCTCATCGAGGACGTTGCTCATTTATCATCTTTTCTGCTTCCAAATTACCTAATGTCTTTACTTGACTATCATTTGTTTCGGTCTCTGCAAAACTCTCTTGATGGTAAAAAATTGGCGGACGAAAGAACCGATGAAAATCACTTGGCAAAGTTTCGACGATAAACCAAAGAAATTCTACACCGATGAAATTATCAAGCTACACAAAAAATTGCAAAAGGTCATAGATGAGAATGGTCAATATGTCTTTGATTAAAACTGACTTTCTATAAAGGAATTTTTTGTTAAAAAATGTACCAAAAAACCGCGGAGACTTTCTATATGGTCCAATAAATGTATAAGTACTTTTCGTATTTTGGAAAAGAGAGGGGAAGGTATTTTCCTCTAGTAACAGTGAAGAGGCGCATGGGGCATAAAATGTTTCTGAACCAATAATTTAAAAGCAACTCTTCGCAAACATTGTGTTATTCTATAAAATAGAGCATAATATTCGAAATTTATCTTCCATGCGTCCTAGCGCGTAGCGAATTTTCGAAATGCTGCTATTCGGCAAAGCATAGCATCTTGATCTTCTAAAATATGATCATTGTGTTTTTAATTTACAAACTGGGCGATCTGAAAGCAATCTGGCCGTTGTTTCCCAAAACTATAGATCTAATTTTTTTCCCACGCTGTCTATCATGTCCGTCACGTGATTCCAGGTTGTTGCCATTCTGCAGAGCCAAACGTGTTTAATTTATCCTTCAAATATAACCAGTTGATCAATAGTCACTGGGATTTCGAAGCAATAAGCATGCTTCTAAATCATTAAAAATGTTTGTTTTACTTTTTTTAAACTATTGTTTCGAATCGATATGAAGTAAGGTTACAAAGCTTATGATATATCGATCAATTGCGTCGGCAAACATTTGGTTTCGGACATTCGTGTTCCTCAGTTTAATTTTTAAATGTCAGTTACTAAATACTAGCTAAAATGACTTTACTTCCACTTGCACTTACTTATCATTTGTTATAAAACATGATTTTTTAAAGACATTTATTCAAAATACTTTTAACCAAAAATTTGAAAGATTTCACATTTTATATTACGTCCAAACGCATTTTTTTCTCCATTTTCACAAATATACGTTTCGAGAGCATTTGGGTTAATGTCCCTTTAGGCTAAAAATATTTAAAATAATAATTTTCGATTCTTTAAAATTTCCGATGACAGTCCGCGAGCTGGCGATAAAAGTATTCTTTATCGTACAGTGTTGCCACTACTTCTTTCGAAATCGTTGAATTTGTTAATTAAAAGTTCAAATCCGTTAAAGTATTACAAAATATGAAATAGATAATAAAACAAATTCGAAATTCAAAGTTCGCGTTTCCAGATGCCCATGTTCGGGTGGAGGATTACGTTATTCAAAATTGGTATCGTTGTCTTTTCACAGTGCGAAGAACATACATGCACACATGCAGATTCTTTAATATTTAAATTTTTAATATGTAATACAGGGCGATAATATTTGTTAACAACAATCTGAAAAGTGACATAACGCATTTAAGTGTTTCGAGGCAAAAATGCTGTTTCTATATTAATATTCCATTAGGGACTGACGTTCCTTTTGGGCTTTAAAAAATAACAATAAATAAAAATAATGAAAAAAAACTGAAAGTTTTTATGTTTTGTATTACGACCAAAGTGGCTTTTTTCCAACGTTTTGTGTGTTATCTTATAAGGTATTTCTCCCACTTCCCTAGCGTGCCTTCGTGGTGTAACGGCAGCAGGCTGGGCCGGTATTCCAGAGGTCCGTGGTTCGATTGCCGGCGAAGGCGGTTGCTTATTTTTCATCTCTCCGGCTTCCAAAAAAATACCTAATGTCTCTACAATCTTTATTTATTAAATATCATATTCTTCTCACTTAAACCATAAAATTCAATTCAAAAGCAATATCAGAAATAATTTTTAAAAAACG